GGAATTTGTTTTACATTAAAAACAAAGTAATAAACCAAGTCATGGGTGCATAACTAATGATTAGACTAAATATAGCTAATTAAAAACTTTTGTGAGCAATTAACTGTAACTTATAAAAACATTACTTCAGCAGTAACCTACCGCTTCTTTGAGACGAGAGTTCACTATTTAGGCGGAGGGAAATGTTACAATAATAACTTGAGAACAACCCTTCACTTTTTTTATTGAGAACTTACCCGAGCGCACCCAAATTTCGAAAGTAAGATAACAGTCTTTGTATGTTGTGTTATCACTTTCAAAAATCAGAAAACCCTTCCTTGCCCACCCCTGTTTTTCTTAAAACTTAACTCTCAGCTGTGTAGACGGGTTCAAAATAGAAGTACTGACAGTTATATTTAATCTCGTGAGCTTTCGTTTAGAGTCATATATATATATTGTTTTTATACCCAACACCCCGCAAACCTCATAGAAGTGTCGTTACTATTTAGTGCGTTACAATAACCCATATTGTACTAGAAAGCGCCCAAACCTTGCCTGAGAGTTTGAGTATTCTAAGTTTACTCGATCAAAACCAGAAGAGACATCCCTCTTCCCCCAACAGTCATAAAAAACCTGCAACTCTTTAACAGCTTTTCCCTCCTTAAAAAGTTGAATATGTAGTATATATATACTTTAAGCTTTAAAGGTGGTGGTTTATTTGAATTCTAGGTTATCGGCTCTTCGCTCTTCTTTGCAATGACTAACAGAGTTTTAATGTGAGCCCTGTTTCTGTGACGACTTTTCTCTATTTACCTTATTGCGTTGTATCAGTAGTACAAATTTAACTCTTAGTTTAGACTGCAGGCTTTTAAAAAAATGGGTCATAAACATATTAACCCTTTTATCCAATTATCTTTCTCTGTCGAGAAGTTTATTCAAACAAGAAACACTTGCTATTTTAATGGTGTTTAATGAGGAGTTCAAGGTTGTATAGCCTAATTATTCAAGCGTTTTGTTAGCTGTCTGTCACTCATAAATGTTAGGCTTTGCACCCCCTGTGTGCTGGATTAGACCTAACTAAAGTTTTGCTTATTAATATTATGTAAAGTTTCAAGTAAAACTTTATAATACTTTCCAGTTAGTTGCATGGTATCAAAACTATGAAAGGCAAAAGGTTTATATAGATACGAGTTGGGGAGACGTAACTAGTATGTGCACTTTTATTTATTAACCCTTTCTGACCTTTAACTTTATAGTTTAAAGATGGCTTTAGAGTTATAGTGGGTACTGAGCAATACAAGTTACTTGAAGAAGCCTTCAAAGCAGTTTGTATAATAACTCGATTATATATTATTGGATAACGTTTAATAAATAATTACAGGCCGTTATGGAAGTTGCATTCCATGTAAAAAACTCTGAACCGAAATATGGGAAACCTCTAAGGGCTGAACAGGCGAAGTATGTTATAACGCTGGTCTCCGCAATTCCTTCCAACTACACCGCCTTTTGTTTGGAAAAACTGTTGAAAACGGAGTTCGAGAAAACTATCAACCTACAAATTTTTAGGTTAGTCAGCTCTTTTGTTTCATATTTTCCGACGTGGTGTGTTACAAATGCTGTAAATCACCTTAAAGTTTATAAACTTTTCTTGTCAAGGAACCGCTAGTCAGTATCTCTAACATATAGTTTATCTTGGCCTAGCTTATTATGATATCTGCTTAGCCTTTAACTATGTATTACTTTTCGAACTAGTATTTCCGTTGATCTTGAGGAAACTTTACACAGCGAAGCTGAGTATCCGCAACGTATAGAATTCTGCCCTCCAGAGAACTATTCTTTGGAACTCATGAGTTCCACAGAGAAAATAACTTTTTCTTGCGGTAAATTGTAACACCACGTGGTATACCTGCGGGGTTTACTACATTGTCTATAGAGAGTCTTAATTTCGAAAATCTTTTTTTCCGGTGGATTCCGGACGAGGGGCGACTCAGAACATCTGCAAAGTTCTCGAATTTATAACGATTATCTTTTTTTAACACTTTATTACTGGTATTTGTATTCGTCTGTTGCCCACACAATTCATGTATACCTTAAAATGTATACTAAATATTTCTCCTACGAGTGTCGGTAGTTGTGGTAATAACAATGCCCCCTCTTAACGACAGTTACTTACTAATACTTTGCAAATATAACGCCAACTGTGTTATTGTTCCATTTATAAGTTAAAGGACGCGGGTTCATCGAATCGATAATATTTTTTATTGCGCTTCTTTTTTTCTTTTGTTTCAGCCTCTCCCTTATTTGAAGCAAACGTTATAGTTTTCTTTAAGGAGGACTGTGAGTATCCCCTCAAACTGGATGTCTTTCCAGTTGTTTTTGATCCAAATTTTAGTCTGAAGGATAAATACTTTGTATTGATCTTTTCTTTTTACTTTAATATAAATTTCATAAACGTTATCGTATCTTTAATTTTTAAATTATCTATAAAAGTTCCCTTGCAACTTTGTCTCTATTGATGTAGATTTAATATTAGCTTGGTGTTAGCTGGAGTCCAGTGATGAGTTCATCTCCTTCTGAAAAGTCTTTGAACGTATTTGTTAGATCTTTTATCCTGACTAGTATTCTCTGCGAGTCGACGGTTATTTTTGTCAGTTGCAACTATTTATTAGAGTCTTGATAACTATATTTCTTTCTACAGCTTTTTGGAGTGGTACAGTGCACTCTATACATCTTATACTATTGCTCACTTGCTTTTACTTGCTAGTCTTGTTTCGCTTATCCTACGAGATCTTGGCTATATGATTGGGTAACCTCATTATACATAGTGATGATCATCAAAAGTTTTATCACTATTTTTATTTGCAGGAGCTTCAGAAAGAGAATGCAGAGCGTTTTACTGCACTGCTTCATATTTTAAGGGAGAGAGAACTCTCCGTTGTTGTGGCTGAAAAAGTAAATAACTCCTATGGAGTTCACTACGGTCCGTTTTATTACTAATTTCGTTCTGCCCTTATAAGTGACGTTCAATATTAGTTGTGATGCCGTCCCCTCACAACTTCAAGTTCCTTATTAAAGTATGGAGCCATGCTTTATTAGTGGACTGTACGTCACATGATAACAGTGCTTTCCCTTCCTTGCCACTGGAAGGCTTTAGTCACCAGGGAATTTGCTTTAAATAAACAACTTATTGCGGAGCCGTCCTCCTCGTCTGGGCAATATAAAAACTACGTGCTAAACCAGTTGTCAACTGTATGTTATTCCATACTTATCTTAAAACATCTAAATTTTCCTTTATTTGGTGTAAGCTTCGAATAGATAGCGAGTTCAACCCGCTGGCGTATTCCTCTTACATTCCTCCCTTCTCTTTGGAAACAGGTCTTCATTATAATACTAATTTATTATACATCGCAGCATAAAGTTAAGGGTTTGCTTAAACTCACAGAACAGCAGAAAAACAGTGAAATATTCCAGCTATTCATTGATAGTAATAAGCCAAATAAACGGCGACGAGGTAGAAAGCCAACAATGATAGAGAAAAACTAAATTCACACTATCCACAGTGAGGTTTGATAGGTGTTTCCAGTAGATCTCTAAATTATAACTGATAAAGTTACATAATATTGATTTTAGCTTTTTCCTTTCTATGAAAAAATTATTTTTTAACCATAAATATACACCTCGCATATATATATATATATGAGATTAACTATAAGTCATAGAAGTGAGGGTAAAACACGTGTTACAAAGTTTAATATAAAGTTTTCGCTGAGGTTTAGTTTAAAGCACATTCAAAATCTACTTAACTTCAACCCTCTCCTTGCAAGTAATAATTTTACGTTACATAACTAATATTGCAGGAGTTTCTTTAATAATAAGGTATTTTCTTGCAAATTTCCATATATAAATTAGTCTTATAACTAATCTATACGTAATTTTATTCTGTTACAGAGGATATATGAGTTTTTATTCGTATCTGAACCCCCATAATTATGGCCACATCCCTAACAATCGCTCTCTTTGTTAGTTTCCTACTACACTACTGCGCTATCTTTATTAAAAATATCCAAGCAAGTTCTCGGTTTGACAGTAGAATTCATTGTCATATCTAACAAACCTAAAGCCGAAACCAGAAATAAAACAATACTTATTTTTATCACATTAATTTTGGTGTTAACTCTGATAAATCACTTGTTCATACCACGTGATACCTTGTACATGCGCCAATATACCACATGGATGTTTACGTATCGTTGCACATGTTTCTGTCCCGCGCTTTGGGTTACCTTTTACTCTCCCCGATTACTCTTCCTCTCTTTCTTCTTCATTATGCAACTCTTAGTAAAAGATGACGAGCGTACTCGTTGCTTTATCAAAAAAAAATACTTGCATTTGACAAGTTCAGTTTCTTGCATAATTTAGCTACTAAAACAGATGAAAAGTTAGTCTTGTAGACCTACCCGATATGACGCCGGTAAGCGGGTAGTGCCAGTACATTAGGCATATATGCTTAACTATCTAGAACTAGTTAAAAAACGTAGGCGAGCCTAAGACAAAAGAGAGAAACCCGATATTGCTTTGATTGAGAGTCCAGAGCCTACAGAAGGACTCCAGTAAAAATGGTGTGCGTTTGGAGAATGAAAAATTTAAAATAATTCGCTAACTCGTTTAAAAACTAAAGCACACATGATGATATGAGTTTAAAAACTTAGGTGTTAAAAGCAAACGCAAGCCATTAGACCCTTTTTTTGCTGACTGTAGTGGGCTGTACATATCCTACGCTGTGGTAAGTTACATAAAAATATTAAACTGCCAGTTGCGATCATTAGGATAGATTTAGGGTTATACTATCCTGTATAATTGACGGGAGTTAAAATTAAACTCAGAGAATTCTTTCTTAAATACCGAACAAACGAACTAATGCCTATGCCAAACAATAATGAAATGTAGGTCACTGTCAAAGAGAACATCGTCAAAGGCAGTAAACAAAAGCCTAAATTTGCGAACTTATATTCGAGTCAGTATAACCCGCACAAAATGTTCTAGTAAGCGAAACCACGAGCTAAGGTACAGAGTCGACTGAAAGGTATAAATGGGGGTTCCAAGAGGTGGCGCACAACTTCACAAAAGTGTAGCTAGCCATAACTGTTTGATATAGCGCAAGACATTCCCTTTAATCTACTAGAAATTAATTTATATCAATATTAAAGTGCCAATTGCATTGTCGTATAGGAGACATTTTAGTAAAGGATTCATAGTCCCCTTAGCTGGGGCGCCTACTTTTTGGCGTGGCGGGAAATCTATCAATGATATAACAAGTGAAAAATTTCCTGCTTAGATAAAGACAGTAACGACCTTTCGGATATTTATAACGTAAATGCCTCAACGAATATGAAAATGATACGTGATTGTAACAGTCAAGATTAACAAATATTTTAGCAGATTTATTCTATTTACTTGCACAAAATTTATGTGATATTCTTCATGCAAAATAAAGTATAAGTATGATCGTCAACTCTACGGACTTTCACTCTGAAAAATTATTAATAAAAATAAAATAATTACAACTTTGCAATCACTGTTTTTTAGCCATTACAACGCTCTTTCCAAAGAAAAATTTCTTAATAAATAGGTAAAGCACCTTGAAGAATATCATTAAGGTTAAATTGAATTAGAAAGGCCTGCATATGATTTAAAGTTCCTTGTTGTCCTAAAACTTAATAGGTAATAATTACTTGGTGGCTTTTGAATCGCTAGAATACAGTTAAGATAGCTTGAAAAAAGAATTTCCTTTTATCTGATATCACAAGTACGAGGGGTATAACACTGATTCCCCGGCAGCCGTTTTTAGAATTATTTGGTAGCTAAGGCGTAACGGATACTCACTTCGATAAGGAAATACAGTCATTTACCAGATTAAGAAGTCACGAAGCAGGCTACTCCCTCCTTTTCTCACCTTACGCCAGCTTTACTATAGTATGGTATTGCCCCAACAATACTACTCCCAGAAGAGCTTAAATCGCCTTTAACTTTGAACACATAAATTTTTATTCTTGCCTAACATTGGCTCTTTGCAGAGTATTTGGTAGCCCCCAAGATTTGTAAGATGGACATAATGAACCATAAATCAAAGGTTACGTGTGCAGCTTTAGATAAAAAGATACTGCCTGTAACGTTACTTAATAAAAGTATGACAGAAAGGATTACTATGTTTTTAAGAGAGACGAAAATTTTGAACTTTATTTGACAGAATTTAAGGAAAAGTAAGCATGAATTTTATATATATGATATAAAATTAACGTATAAGACTAGTTAGCTTAAAAAATTAAGTAAGAATTTTTCATTATTATTTTATAACCTTGTATTAGAAATAAAGAAGAGAAGGATGAAGTTTTTTCTAATGTACTTTCCATGTCTTCTGTTACCGGTGTTTCGGAAAAGACATTAATTTGGGTTATAAGTATAAAAATTAAATTTCATATCTATAAATAGATATTTTTTACTAATGAAAGGCTAAGAATGAACTTTTGCTTAGCACAGAATTTATTTATGTAAATAACAAAGCTAAGATTCTATTAGGTCCCTTTCAGTTACTTTGTTATTACTTAGCCCTCTTTAAAGAATTTCTACTGCTTTTATATAGGTTGTATGCGCTGCCTTTATGAAGATGAGAACTTTCTGAAATTATCAGAGAAAGTTTTAATCGACTGTCTTATAGAATTACTAGGGACCCAAAGCATAGTACACCAGTCGACGGCTTTTGAAATATGCCGATCATTATGCAAAAGTTGTAAGAATCGTTATAGTACTGTTAGCCTCTTCTTTGAAGGATTTCCTCTAGTCAAAGTAGAAGCAGACACCAGAATTCTGACGTTACAAGTATTAAGCATTCATGCTTATCAACTGCTTTTGTGGGTCCTGAGAGAGTGCCCCATCGCCTGCCCGCTCTGGGATAACTGCTTGTGCTGCTTTTTCTATGCAATGGACTCTTTACCCTTCGAGCCCCTCGTCTCTGTGTAAGTCCTCCTTTGCACAACTAACTGCTCTCTTGGTTACTTTCTCGCACGTCAAGCATTGACAAGCTGGATCCTTCGGTTCTCGGGGGCCTCTTCGAAAGTTCGCTTTTTCTTTCTTCTATCTGGACCGACAAGCTCATAAACTACTTCGAGCTCGCTTTGTAGGGATTATAAAGGATTGGAACCCACTAGCTTTTATACTCTTTTATTAAGCTTTGCAGATAAGATTCAACTCCGGGCTGATAAGTTTGCTATGCTCTGTGGTTAGCCTTTTTAAGTCCCTATATTTTGCAAAAAAACACCTTTGTGTATCTAATAGGCGGATTAGGCTCTCTCGAACGTTCAACGTTTATAGTTTGCAAATGGTCTATTGGCACTATTTCTGAAAGAGTTTGTTCTTAAAATATTTTTCAAGGATAAATATGTTAGAACTGGGCGACCTCAAGGAACTGAAGAGCTTTGCGAGGATCCTGCTAGCAGCGGCTTTGCAGGAGCAAAACGTTGTGTCGCCATCTAATCTTTTCTCCATCATTTCGAATGCTGAGAGCTTCTGCGTTTTCTTGAAGAAAGTTATGCAACCGCTTTGTTTCTCCTCTGTCTCTCGCTAACCCCTACTGCGAACGCCTGGCGTAGGTCTGCCTCTTACCCCCCTTGGCATTTTCAGAAGTAATTTATGCCATGTGATTTGTGGTTTGCCATGGAGTTAAATATGCATTGGCGCATTAGGCTGCCCTCCAAGAATGCAAACCGCTCGCGATGCTTTCTAGTAGTGCCGTTGACTGTATAGCTCAATTGCTTAGCTGCTTAGGAGACCTACTTGAGCGAGCACACAGAGTGTGTCATCTTCCACCGTCCCTACTTTTTGTTTAAGAGTCGCTTAAGGTACAGTCCTCCTTCTCGGGATTATACCAGCGGACCATGATGGGCAAGCTGTGTTCTAGTACAGCTTCCATCATACATGGGTTACTCCACAGCGAGCTAGTAGAAGATCGAGATAATGGGATGGTGCTCTTTATTATTTCTAAGTGGGCAGTTTGTAACTTGTACTGGCAGAAATGGCTTCTGCAGTTACTTTGCACAGGTGTAATCGGCTGGTCTACGTTGGAAAGCATTCTCATCGGTATTTTGGAAGCTCCACTACCGGAAGTTTATTATTTAGGATACAAACCTGCACGCAATACTACCCTACCCCACCAGGTGCAAAAGACCTTTTATATCATTATAATGGCCGTGTTCGAACAGGCACGTTGCCTGCAGCCTCTACATTTCGCGAATGACGGGTGAGTTATTTACTATTAACCTTAAAAACGAGTGTTTCATATATCCAACGCAGAATTTTTAGAGAGGTTTCGTAGTACATAGTTTAAAAGTAAAGATGCTTTTAACATAATAAGAATCTTAATAAGTTAACTTGTATATAAATTGCAGCGAGTTAACGGCTTGGGTGAACTGCATGCTAACTAAAAGTAACCTTATATAGTAAAACTTTATAACTCTGTTGTATGTTATTCTCCAGGTGTGGTTGACCATGGAGAAAGTGGGCTTCAAAATACACTAATAGCAGCCCACATCCTATTTCTTTTGCTATTGGGTTCATAGTTGAAAATTTATTTTTTAAGTCTTCATTCTTAAGCTTTCTTTAGACGTCAGAGATCAGGAGCGTAACTTTCGTAGAGAGGAAATTACAAATATGATCCTACACGGTTGGTAGATAAAATAATACCTATTACAAGACGGCGGCCTCTTAACGAACTCCAGGCACTAAAGGCATAAAGAAAAAAGCTTTAAACGCTATTAATTCGCTGTTATTGAAGCAATTATATTGCTTTCTTGCAAATGCAGGTTTCAGTAAATATATTTAAAATACCTTTTCTGGCTTCCTGCATTATTATTTCTTTCAGAAAGCATTGAAAAAGAAAGTGCGATGAAAACCAAACAGGCCATGCTAGTATTGCTTGTCCTTCAAAGTCAAGAAGAAGCTTTCTACAGAGCCATCGGAGGTCTTGCGGCCGGGCTATTCTGTTAGAGTTGCTCGCCATTCTGTATTAGGGCCACAGTTTTTCAACAACCTCCTTGAATCCTGCGACCCATTTGTGTTGCTTGTTGCTAGCGAGTTCTTAATTAACAGGGTTTCTTTATTAGGAAAAGGTTAGTCTTTTATAACTTCGTGAGTTAAGTAGTTGCTCAATTATTAAATATGCAAGATATTCCTAATGTTTTGGTTAAGAAACACGTTTGGAGCGCCACTGAAACGCACCCTTTAAAAAAACTTAACAAATTAAGAAATTTTTTAACCTGTTGATTTCGTAGGCTATAATTCCGAGCACCTGTATATTATGGACAGCAGAGTAATATTATAAATATGAAGTATAATAAAACTAAATCGAAGTAGCGAAGAGCACCGTACAATTATTTGAATATTACAGACTACTTATGTGCACTAAACCCAACTGGGCAACAAATTAAGAGAAAGAAAAACTTCATGAGGCCCTCGAGTTATACTTATTTAACTACATGTGAACACAATCCTCATATTATTAACAAAACTTGAAAATTAAATCTCCATTCTTATAGGAGACAGCATGTGGTATCTAAAATAATGATACAAACTTAACGAGCTCAGCATTGCTAATTATAAATGTTAAGGGTAAAGTATTATCACTTTGCCAGGAATGCACGTGTCAGCTCTAAAGCACGAGATAGCAGGAGTGGGAAATTTTGTTTTGTTTGCAGTATTCCTTGATAATTTAGTCAACCAGCTGCATGATTTCTTACCAATCCATCAAATTAATATGTTTTACATATTCGGCTTTTTTTAACTTGTGCAGTCTAATAAGACAAGAGACAAAAAAAAGTTTATACCCATGTATTTAAAAGTATAAAAAATTTATAAAGAGCAAAAATAACAAAAAGCAATAAGAAATACAGTCACTAAAACAAAAATGCTAACTTTATTTCATTATTAGTAGCACTGATATTAAAAATCTTTATAACCTAAGTATATAACGCCCGCCTTCTAAAAAAAAATTGAGTCGTTTAAATAAACTTTAACTAAAGAACTGAAAAAGTAAACAAATTTTTATTTTTGCAAGTTATATTTTATGGCAAACGTTTTTGTGATTTAGTGAGTTTTTGCCATATTTGGAGATCTGCATTCTTCAATCTTTTACTACGGGTTTGGTTAAAGTATTTGACTTGTTTACCGATAATCCTCTTTACCTTAAATTTGTTGTATACACAAATATTAGTAACTTTAATACTCTAATTTACTTGTATATGTTGCTAAACATTAACTCCATGTACATTGTATTTATATCGAAGATTTCTAACTTTATATACTTTCCTTACGAACATATATAAATTTGCTCAACACGCTCTCTATTCCTTTAGGGTAAAAAAAATTTGAAACTTCCACCATAGAGATTACTAGCTATAAAAAGAAAAATTTAAAAAAACCTACAAATTGCGCTTAGCAGAATTAACTAGCTGAGGTTTGTTTACATTGAAAGTGTAAGCAAAAACAAACGAAAATCAAATTAATACCTTATAGTGATATAACTACTAAAATCCACAAAAATCATTATAAAATCAAAGGGTTTTTAATTGGCCACAAAAAGTATTATAAAAAAGCAATTACGAATTTTACAAGTGTATGCTTTCTATAGATAGACCTTCTTAAGTGTTAAAAGGAATTTCTTTAAAACTTGACTATAGCGCAGTCGAAGAGAATTCACGATTTATAAAATTACACCCCTTAAAGTTCGCTCGTTAAAAAGTTTCCGAAAAAAACGAAAAGCTCTTTTTTTTTTTGCCTATTCATTTATTAAAATTTAAAGTGAATTACTTTTGTCATTCACAATTTCGGTATAAGAACTCAAAACTTCAAAACATTTCTATGAATACGCCACTGACCTCTATTGGTCATAACCCTATGTTTCCCCAACTTTCAAGTGCGTCAGCTGCAAGAGGTCACATAAACTTCATACGAACTCCATATTGTCAAGGTGTGCACATCTCCAACTATCGAGGTTATTCTTGTTACGACCCTAAGATGGCAAGGTTCTCTGAAGGTAGTGAGAGCTTCTTGGAATAAATTGAAGCTAAGGCACAAATAATTTAAACCTGTGCACAAGCAGTAATAGAAGAAAAGAACTTTAGACGTACTAGAGCAGGCCAAAGAAAACACGATTCGACTTTATCCAACCTCACTAGTAGGTTTCCTCTCGAACCACTTACTCGTGCTTTATGGGATAGGCTCCCCTTATGTAATCTTCTGGATCAAATCCGAAGTATACATGAACAGGTGTAGATATAACGAACTAATTACACGGGCAATTAAGAACAACCTATTCAAAATTGTTTCTACAGTTACTATTAACAGTTTAGTGGTTTCCTATGAGACTACTATAACTCAAGCATGTATAACGGTTTTGTAAAGCACGCTTTCCTGAGGTTACTGCATATGATTCCTTAAAGAAAAGGGAAAGAACGAATACGTAACACCCAAAAACCCTTATAATTAATTTATTAATTACACACGTTAATAAGTCAAAATATGCTTTGATAAATTGCGCAATGAACCTTGGGGCTTGATGTTCGCTGAGTTTACAATTTTTAAACTCTATATCTTTTTTGGCGATTTGTCGAATACAGTAGAATTTACAGGAAATAATTACATTTAAATCTGATGAGTGACTATTATACCTACGGTGACAAAGTTAAGGCGGATGTTTGCGTGCATAGTTGACTTAGCCTCAACCTAATTACAAAGAAGTAGCTCCTGCTATTTAAATAGCCCTAATCACAGCGACAATCTACAGTATAAGTTAAGGATAACGATATAAGACTCTAAAAAGCTAAAATGGTACCCGTCTTTGACGATGTAACCAACACGATTAGAAACTCTTAATAAGTTTTGTACATTTCCGAGTAATAAAAAATGGCAGCCGTCGAGTGCTTTCCTAACATCTTTCATGAGTTTATTGTCGTGTATGGTGAGTATAGCAGAAGCTGTAATTCTTGACCTGATCCTAAAGATTTTGGGGAGTATTTCTTGTTCCACAGTTTCAGTTTTAATCCTATAAAAGAAGAAAGATGGGTAAAAATAATGAGTTTATGAAACTGACCAGAATCATCCTGCATGATCTGTATAAGACTAAACTCAGTTATTTTTACGGGTTAGCCAAAGTGCACAAAAAGGACTTTCCTAGAACTGCACCAGACATTCGTCCATTAGTAGCATGTGTGAACACACCTATTACTGGTCTGTCGAAATGGTTACACCACTATCTACTACCTATAGTAGAGACCGTCCCTTCTTACATCAGGAATTCTGATGATATCCTGACTGCTATTCAGGATACCATTTTGTCACCTCACCATGAAATAATGTCTTTAGATATTTCAGCCTTATATACTTCCATTCCTATTATGGAAGCATTCAGGGTAATTAAAAAATATATTCTAGAGCATTATGGACCAATTCAGGGTGTTTTGCTTGTAGAGGCTCTTCATTTAATTCTAAATACAAGTTATTTTGAATTCTATGATAAGCTCTACATTCAAACGAACGGAATTCCTATGGGGAATCCAGCAGCCCCCAGTATAGCAACACTTTATGTTGCTTACTATGAAGCCATCAAACTATACCCTCTTTTAAAATCAAATCTCATCCTATATAAAAGATATTTGGATGATACATTGGTGATTTTGAATGACAATGGTGGATTCTTAGAGAAAAAGATGCTGGCCATCCTTAACAGTATTCCTGGTCTGAAATGGACTAAAGAATCAATGAAGAATGGTAAATTACAATTCCTGGACATCTGTATTCATACTGATGGGAAGAAGGTATGGACTACATCAGCGGAAAAGGATACAAATTTATTTTTATATCCTACCCCTCATTCGGCACACCCGCCAGGAGTTGTAAAAGGTATGGTGAGAAGCTTAGTGCTACTTTATTACGCGACAGTTATTCCATTTTTTTAGAAAATGGGTTCAATTATTTTTTTTTGTTGACAGGTGCGTTAATTTGTAGAGTTCAGAAAGCTTTATCGGATAAAACTATAAACCTGAAGGTACCAGATCCTCCTTTGTTTTTTTAACTTTTCTGCTTCAGAAAACAATATACCAAGCCGGTTTATATTTGAAAGAGTTGAGATTATGAGCCCCGCAGGATTCACTGCTATCTCCGATTCTATATAATTTGTCCATGTCGAATTCTCTGCCACATCACCTTTTTCATTATAGTTGGCAGGGCTCCAAATACGCTTATTTATTTGTTACTGCCTTGAGTTATGATTTGATTCGTGGCATATTACAAGTAGCCTACTGAAGAGCAAAGCTAATTTCGTTACCGAAGACGGGAAACTAGGGAAACTAACTGAAATAATCTGTTAGACATCCCCTCTCTTTCTCCCGCTCGGCTTACGGAAGTTGAATGTATGGGCGTTTGGATCGACAAAGAATTTTTATAACGCCATCACAATAATATACCTCATGAACAAAGTTAAAAGAGATTGTACCTTCTTTTGTGTGGAAAGGGTCTATTTTAGCGCAAATTAATCAGCCGACTTTAATTCAAGCATCCGTCGTGCGGCCTGATAACACACAACGAAAAAGGAAAACAAGAGAACGGAAGTTGTTTTATTTTTTATAATTATTACGTGACACTGGCTTAATAGGAATCTAAATGGGCGCAAATACCAACCCGAAGGAATTTACACTTTCACAACTGTCTCGAAGGGCTGTAAAAGCTGGAAATACCGGACCCGAACTTTCTGATATTCGCCCCAATGTGGCGGAAAACCGCCAAAAAAAACTACCACCGGTGGAGACGGTTTCATAAAAACTCAGTGGCCCAAAAACTCCGGCCAGCACATATGCCAGCCAGGCCTACCCAACTAAGGGTTCCCACCCAAGGGGGATTTAGGAGTTGCTTATTACAGGCTTCAGACCGTTTACAAAAGGTTAAAGATTTTCCATTTATGTATATCGTTTAGATTAAATTTAAGAATCTTAAATTTGACTCCGATAAAAAGATGCCTGCTGTAATTACCATATTTATATAGTAAATATTTTGTTTACAAAGCCCCTAGCAAACTGTTTAAAAATGCTTTTTCTAAAACATTAGTTTATGATGCCTTAATTTGGTTTTATTTTTTAATTATAGTTTCATATGGTTTCCTTCTGTTTAGTGTAGTTGTAGGTTTGTATGCATATATTCCATGATATAGTCTTACGGAAGTACTCAAATCAAAAAGCGGAGCTTCTAGGTTATGCGGGATGCTACCTTATACCGCGACCTGAAGTTAAGACGGCTTCCTAAATATTTTGACGTTTTAGTGCAGAAAGCTATCAATGAAACTTAGCTCGTTCTAACCATATAGTTACTTAAGCCGTAACCTGTGACGCAGGTATTTACACTCTCTACAGGAGACCACGGCAACTGTTTTT